TCAAGAGGGGGTGCAGGGGGAGGACGGCGTGGTGGCTGAGAGGGTGGAGGGGGGGTGAGAATGAGGGAGAGGGGTTGTACATCAACCAGGCTGGCCCCATATCAACACTGTGGGTGCTACTGGTTATCTGAGCCGCCAATCATATCACTGCACGAATCAGAATGCTGAGTAATTTATGTATTTACAGTCTTAAGCAATACATCATTAACTTTAACATACTCAACATACAAGAATACATACTCATGGGCAAAGATGGGCCAAAGTTTAATGTTGTGTAATTTGGGTTTGGCCCTTTTTTTTTGCCCAGGTGTATAAGTGAAATTACTAGTAAATGGATACAGAATTTCATAATAAATGCAAAATCTGAATGCATCAGGGGGGCTGGCTGGGACTGACCTTCCAGAGTGCTCTTGGTGGTCTGATCTCTGCAGTCCTTTGTGGTCCTGACCTTGAGGTTCTGCGGGGCGAGATGCTCCGTGAGCGTGTCCATCGTTTACAGCCACCCATGACTTGCGTATGAACCCAAGCATGAATATTTCTACATCTGCTCTGAGCAGCCACAGCTCTCCAGCCCACACTGAGGCTGCTGTCAATCCCATACGGCAGCTTGGAAAGGAACAGCCAGTAGTGATCCAGCGTGGGGGGTGAAGCCCGTGCATCACAGTCTGTTTTGCTGATCCCAGTTCATTGCTAGTTTCACCAAAAATGTGTACATCTGGCTTCAAAGCAGCCAAGCCTATATTAATACCTCCACACCAACACACACGCACATTATGCAAAACGATATTTGTGCAGACTTTCCCTGGACTCTCGGATCAGTATAATTCGATTCAATTGAATTGCATTAAAATCCAATTCAATGATTCAATTAATCATCCTGAACTCCAAAGCACCATAACAGATTAAATCTGGCGAAAGCCACGTCTTGCGGAAATGTCCCAACATTTGTATTTTTGAGGGTTTGCACGCCTCAGCAGCAATGAAACATTCAATAACAGCTGCTGCATGGCATTTTTCCACATCGTCCGCAATCCACCATTTGTATTCAGTGACCAACAAAGATTTTCATAGCGTTTATGTTATCAGAGTTCCCCCCCCCCCCTCTCTCTTGCTCCTTGAGTGGGTTGAGGCGCAAATTTTTCTGGTAATTGTAGAAACACCTTGAGGCACAGTGTCCAACAGGAAACATCAGGAGACCTATAAATCTCCACCCCCACCTCCTTATTTCTGGTCGCCAAGGCGATAACTATCGGCATGGCAACACCACAGAAACAGGGGCTGCAGGTGAGAGGGTAAACCTTGAATGCAAAGGGGGGGCTGCTTTCCCCCTCAACTCCCAGCACGCCAACAGGACGACTCAGGCCCTTGAAGTCACTTTTGCACTCACCAGGTGGTCGTTTAGAGAACCATTCAAATTTTATCTACTACAGCAAAGTACCATAGATGTGCATGATAAGGTAAGATCAGGGAGTTCTAATTCTTTTTTGTTAAATTAGATGAAACGCTTACTGGACAATGATCTTCGCTTGTCCTTTAGATCTTCAAATTTGAGATGGAAGTTTTGGGCTTTACGTCGGGATCACAGAATGAGTCACAGATTATACATCCCGTCCCATTCCGGCCTGCAGTGACAGCAGCCTTCCCAACCCAACCCTGCAAGACCCAGAGGACGGTTCTGCCCCACAGTTCTTCCTGCTGTTACCTCCGAGATCTCGGCAAACTGCGTGTTGGCCTGGCAGCACCTCTCCGCGGTCTCCACGGCGACCGTGTAGTTATCCACAAAGGCGCGGTAGAGCCCCAGCTGGTTGGCCTGTAGGGGCACAGAAGTCAAAGTGCCGATAGCCGTTGGGAAGCCATTTTACACTGGGGCAGATGTTTCTCCCCCTATAGGAATATGGTGAGAAGATCAGCTGTGCTCCATCCATCATTCAAATATTAAGTATAGTGTTGAGGGGGCTCTGATATGTCCCTCGCAGGATGTCGTACACAACAACAGGCTGGTCACAGTGGCTGTAATGTTCGACCTAACAATTTTATATCTACATCATTTATCCCACTGCGAAACCGCGTGGCAGCCAAAGGATTTGTGTTCGCAATTAAACAGCAGATGCGGATGTTAAAAGAAAAACTTAGATAAAACGTGTGAGAAGTACTAACACTGAACAACATTCAGTGGCATAAAAGAGCAGAGAATTGCTATTCAACCAGTACCCCCCCCCCCCCCCCCCCCCCCCCCACACACACACACACACACACACAACCAGACAATCATGTCACCATGGTAGCAAAGAGCGGCTCCTCAGCAATTAATTTCTGTAAACGGCAGCTCTAAGTGCGCATTTGAAAGTTTAATCTCGGCTTTCCAAACTGATCGGTATTATTAGGCGGCAGAATAATGTGTCATCTTAGCACAATCTTAACAGCCTAATCAAGCACTTTGCATGAATATTTAAGAAGCCAGAGATGGGGCGAGAAACGATGATGGTCCGGGAAGAGGGATCGGCCTGGGTTAACCCACACTGACCCGGCTCATTGAAAGTAGCTTCCAGTGAGGTTTCGAGTCTTGCCAGGTGGGAGGGGCCAGACCAACTGAGGACCAACCAATCAGGAGCTGAGATATACTCAGGAACGGTGAGCCGAAGATACTCCGGGAGACAGCTGGGCCCGGGGGACCCAGGATATACGAGTCTGCTTGACAAATATGCTTACAAGTGAAATGAACCATATGTACCCTAATGACAAAATTTACAGGGCCCCACTACACCTGATGTGATCTGTAGCTCTGCTGGTTAGGGTTAGTGGTTTGAGTCCAGAAGGCCACAGGTTCAAATTCCATTGCCACCCGAGTACTGGTGTCCCCATGGGCCTTGAACCACAGCTACTCCAGGCTGCTCTGTGACACTCATTTCTAGGTCAGTTTGAGCAAAAGTATCTGCTACCTGTATATAAATCTTTACAAAAAATACTTCTGCACATTTACAGGGGAGCCGCCTCTGAGCAGGACCATAGCTTCTCCCCACAGAGGCAGACAGAATATCGGGGGACTGTCACGCACGTGGCAGTGGGCAGTCACAAATACCACTGCAAGAGCGTCAACCATTCAGACAATTTAATTCTACAGTCTCCTATGCACGTTACATTATAATCTCACAGTTTGAATGGGGAGCATTTCAATAAATGGCAAGTTCGCTCACTTGCGTGACATAAAACGATTTGCTCTGATCTTTTAGGTCAGCCAGAGGGCAGCAGGGACATGAAGGACACCCTATCGACTGTGAGGTGTCCCTAAGCTAAGGAAGGCCAGTAAGCATGTGTATAATGATTTAGCCAAGCTCACCGCTGAGATGTCACCTGGGACAGGAAGCACAGCCAAAGGCAAACTGCAGGGAGTCAGACGGAGGTAGAGCCCTTACCAGCTTCTGGAAGAGGTCGCCCACCCGCTGGTGGTGATTCCACTGCTGCACCCTGGGTAGGAGCCCATCGTAGAACTCTCTGTGGATCTCATAGAGCTCAGGCACTTTGAAGAAGATGGTTTCAATCTGCTGGATGGTGAGTACTGGTTGGGAGGTGGTGGCCGCTGCCTTCAGAGGCTTCATGGGCTGTAGTGGGAGGGCAAAACATAAGACAAGGGGATGAGTGTGTGGGGGCGGGGCATAAGGGGGTGAGTGCCTGAGGGGCGGGGCATAAGACAAGGGGGTGAGTGCCTGAGGGGGCGGGGCATAAGACAAGGGGGTGAGTGCCTGAGGGGGCGGGGCATAAGACAAGGGGTGAGTGCGTGAGGGGAGCTACTTTGGGGTCTGAATTTGGGGATGTGTTTCATGCAATTTTAACTAATGGAAAAGATGACAGACTCTGCAGTCAAATCAGCATCTGCTGAAGAAAGTCGCTGAAGAGGTAAGAGTAGATGGGTTCTCTGGATGGGATACCAGAACATCACAGGGCACCACAAACACACAAAGGGAAATTTAAAGAAACTGATTCACCCAAAACAGCATGTTTAAAGAGAGAGCAAATCAGTGTACCAGGATGAGCTCACAACCATGGAGATCTGAAGCTACAGAGACAGACCAGTAAGAGAACAAGGTACGATTCCACCATTCACCAGTAAAAGCGCCTCCAGGTGACTGAGGTACGTCTCCTCGCTGGCCAGAATGCCGGACAGCACCCACTTTCGCATCTCCAGGCCCTTCTCCAGGTCCAGCTCGGTCTGTGGGATGAGGGAGGGGGGAGACACAAGGCACTTCATTTATGTAACTGTTTAGTTAAAAAAAAAAGGAGGGGGAGTGGAGATGGGTCATGTGAGCAAACCTCAACAGCACCTTACATTAATAATGTCCCGCATTGTTGTGTAATTCCTGATTTTGAGTTTTTTAGTTTCAGATTGAGGTCTGAGTGGAGAGGGCCTGGGCAGTGATCAGCAGCCGCGTCTTTAATACCAGATCAGATCATCTCTCACATAATCGATCCCCGACAAACTAAATTATCGCTGCGAAGAACAAACACAGAATGGTTACTTGTCTTAAAAAGAACCAAGGACACGCGAAATATACTCAGGTGAGCAGCTGATGTTAGGGAGCACGTATCTGATCTAGCTGAATGATTAGGATGGTAGGAGGACTTTACAGGCATCTTCTCATGCCGGAGAACAAAGATGGGGGGGGGGGGGGGGGGGGGGGGGGGGGGGGGGGGAGAGAGAGAGAGAGAGAGAGAGAGAGAGAGAGAGAGAGATATCCTCACTGCACAGCGCCCTCCCCACAAGGCCAGGGACACACTTCCAGCACAGGGGTGTGCTCAAGCAGAGCCGTAGCATTTAAACTCTATAATGTTCACATAAATGCCCAGGGTAGGGGTGGGGGGGATTTACACTCCTCCATAAACCTCCTGGTCATCAAGAAGCAATTATGCTTTTTTTGTTGCTCTGTAGGGTAGATGAGGAAACCCTCAGAAGATCTCTCATCTAGCTTTGTCAAGTCAAGGTGAGATGGAGAAGTAACACTGATTAACTGCAATTCCTCAAGGCTTAATGTCAGAAAGAGCCCCGCCCTGTCATCCTGGGCCCCGCCCCTTACACAGAGCCCCACCCCCTCACTCAGGGCCCCACCCCACCACAGAGCCTCGCCCCCTTCCCCAGATCAAGTAGGTAGAAGGTTTAATCTCCTGGGGTGAACTGATATACTTCTGTTCTTTCACACAGATACAGTCAGACTGAAACGAGCGTGTGGGTTTTGTCAGAGGATGCACAGACATATTTGAATAGTTTGTCTGAAATAAACGTTTGAGGTCCGTGGTGAGTAATATTCTGAGCAATGGTATTGTCATGTTCCAGCATCAACGCAGTATTGGATCAATTATATTGGCCCCTTGGGACAGAGACTCATATAGCTGAGCGAAATAAACTAAATTAGTTCAGAGTCTAAGGGAAAAAAAAGAAACTCATCTAGAAGGAGATGATGAGTTTTTTTCCCCCCTCCCCAAGAGCTCGACTTAGCAATGGACATCTCGCTCCAGAAAGCGATCTTTTATTCATCGCCATTTCGCTCCAAAAATGTTTGTGAAGCAGGGAAGAGACTCATCATGCCGGCCCTTCTGGATAAGGATCGGTGCTAATAATGACTCAATTTATTTGGCCCGCGATGAAATTGAAAAACAATAACAGTAATAATAAAGTGGATGGGAGCAGGAGAGAGAAAGCAAGTCTTCCAGCAGATAACTGTAATTATAACAGCCACTGATGCAACGTGAAATTAGAGCTTCAGGACTGGTGTCAGATTGGCTCACAGCGTTATCAGCTGCCGGGAAGTGGAAACATCTAGAAGGTCTCCCAGGACATCCTGGTGGAACAGGGCGTGTAATTTGATTTTATGTCACTTCTCATATTATATATACGTAATATATTGTAATTCATATACACAGACATACATAAATATGTACACATTTACAACCGATGACCCAAAACGTTATGACCACTATAGCAGATAATGTAGAGCTATACAAAACAGAGCTTTATGTGCTGTGTGTTGAAATGCGTTACTCCTGTAAACATCACCAAAATTATCTGTCACTTGTGCCACAGTAGCCCTTCTTTTGGTTTGTACTACACAGGATAACCTTTGTTTACATCTCACATCGATCTGTCCTGGCTGTCCATCATGTTTTCTTTTCACAGTTTCTTCCCCTCCTCAGACCACTATGAGTAGGTACTCACCCCACAAGCTGTGCTGTTTCGAAGATGATGTGGCCCTTGTCAAAGTCATTCAGATCTTTACCCCCACCTATCGCTTCTGCACCCAACATATCGTCTATGAGTATTCAGCTTTATCTTACGGTCTAATATATCCAAGACATGCACCATTTTCACTTGACAGTCAACATTACTCGCTTCAAACCGGGCTGGCTGTTTTGGCTCATCAATGTATATTTAAATGACACACACATATTTGAATGTATTGGTTCCGATTTCGGGTGATCAAAGTTGATCCACATTTTAGAAGAGGGAGTGATCAGAATCTAATCTGGTGGAGCCGATCACTATGTAACTTTCAAAGGTATTATGACTTTACCTTTAAGGGCCTCCACAATCTAGTTTTAAATAGGATCCTATCTACTGAGCCAGCTTCTCTATGATGAATTGATTTTCTACATGACCTTTATTTTACTGACCTACAAAAATAAATCCATTAAACTGTTTGGAAATGTGCACTGCATCAATAAAAACTACTTATAAAAAACTAATTTCCCAGTGACCAAAAAATACTTTTACAGAATGTTTCCATTCTGTCACCTGGATTTCTTTTACAACTTAGTTCTTCAATCAATCTCGCCGCAAAAAGTTTTCAGCTCTAATTAACAGTCTGATTCATTACGATGTAAAATTCTGGACAAATATACTGAAATGGCATTTCAGCTACTTGACAGCTTATCTAGTATTTGTACATCTAGGGTTATTCCTCAAAGTGAATTCCTAGTGAGGTATGAATCCACTAGTGCTCATTCCAACCCATTCCCTGACTTACCCAGTACAATTATTAGTTAATTATCTCTGCATCTAAGTGTCTCTACTAATTATCTACTACTCAACTTCAAAATGCAGCAGAGAAAGGCGCCCTCACCGACTTGGAGGACTCCAGGGAGCCTGAGGACAGCGTGTCCCGACTGCTGCGGCTCTTGGAGCTGAGGTGGGGGGAGGAGGAGGGCGAGTCGTCGATGTAGGGCATCATGTCGTGGTGGCGGCGCTGCTCCTCGGCGCGATCCGCGTCATATCCGTAGCTGGGCGGCGTCCCGCCCAAGGAAGAGTCTGCAGGTTCGGGGGAAGACTGCTTTAGGGGTCGTCGCCATCCCATACTCACAAGTCTCCATGGCAACAGAGAGCCTTTTCGGCCTCCCTGAGCAACGGGTCCTACATGTTTCCAAGCGGATTTTTAATTAGCGGCCGATTCATCAGCGACGGGAGGGAGGGGTGGTGGGGGGTGTGTGACTAAGTACCGGAATTGTTACGCTTCAGTACAGCATTTAGGAGCTTCTAGGCTGGTCAAGAAGCACCAACGCCAAGTTGGCCTCACCCCATTACCGCCCCCTGTGCCCCGATCCGTGCGTTACACTCGCCGGCTGCTGAGATCGGATAGCAGCACGGCATGAGAAAAAGGGCTTTTTTAGAGGAACAGCAGGATAACGTTTTTCTGGGTGGTCAAGCTGTACCCCCTTTCTCAAGGCTTCCCTGATCCATCTGTAGCCCTGCTGCATGGCAACGGGGGGGGGGGAGAGAAAACAGACGGCCGGTCAGCAATTAGCAAATGCAGTCTGACCACCGTCAAAGAAAACGGAGGGTCATCTAATGCAGATTAAGCAGCCACGTTTGGACAGTCGACGATGCAGATGAGCCTCGGTGGGTGTGTGTGTGTGTTGGGGGAAGACGCTGAACCCATGCGGAGCTGACTTTTAAGCAGGCTGGCCCTGAAACAGGCCCCCTTTCTTGGTCCCACTCATCAATAACTTACGGACAAGAACATTTTCCTGGGGAAGGCAGGGCTAGAGAAGAGTGGCAACTGGACAGCGTAACTCTCCAAAAAAGGTCCAGTCAGGTCCATGACAATCACCATAACATACATTTAAACTCTTAACCTCCAAGGAAAAAAAGAACCAGGGCAATAATGAATAATAAGACTGCAGTCTCAGCTGTAACTATGTACGTCCTGCTACCCAGCAAGAAGTATTGCCTATAACAGTGTTTCCCAACCCGGTCCTCGGGGAACCCGGGACAGTCCACGTTTTTGATTACTCTCAGTTACCAGTGCACCAGTACCAGGTATTCGGTGTTCCTGATTGGTTGGGAGCTGGGAGGGAGCAAAAACGCGGACTGTCCGGGGCTCCCTGAGGACTGGGTTGGGAAACACTGGCCTTGTTAAAGACGCCATGCAGGGAACAGGAAATGCAGAAAAGCATTTTTCCTACGATGTGTCAAACTTTGTTGGTCTCCCACGATTCCTCTAGGGAGAGTCGCCCAGAAAAAGTGGGATAAACCTAATAAAAAACAAAACAGACGCAGAGGAAGGCCTGTATATCCTCTGGAAGGTCAGCCCAAGTGCACAAAACCTGAGTTTCCCGTGATTAAGCAATCCTCCGACAAACCAGAGGTCTCTAAATTAGGGTCAGGGCATAAGTCAAATTCAGACACAGTCAGCACAAAGACACTGGTCCAGTGGTCGGACTGACAGGTAGGCCGCTCTGAGGAGCCTCGGGGCACCGGCACAGCCAAACGTGTGCCCCACATCTGACCACTTGGGGCATGTGAGACTGCTGAGCAACGGTTATTATCAGCATGAGACATTTCTGTCTGTTTCCTTCAGCAGCCTTCACATCCCCATCCAAAATAAGCCCAGGCTGATATATACTGATATACAGTCTCACAAATGCAATAACGCCTTGGTCACCTTCACAGGCTGCTCACTGTAAGACTGCTCGTGGTCTGCTTTCCATACCCTTGGGTGTCTCAGTTTCACTCCCCATCTGCTGGATCCAACAAACCCACAAAGACCGTGTTGAGATATCCAGCTCGACATCGTACTTAATATCCCGACACAGACACAGACACAGGACCCCTTGCCCTTGACCTTATGCGACTGCCATAAAACACAAACACTCCCAGCTGTCACTTGTGCCTGGCACTGCTGCTAACTTGCCGCCCCTGTGGAATCTCACCAAATGAAGGCAGGGTAGGCGTAAGCCTTACACGCCCCACCTTCCCATTACACACTTTTATAGTTCAACGCGTGTCCAAGACCTAAGCTGCAGCTCCCACTCTGTCCTGTAGGGGGTGTGTACCTGCACTTATCGTCCTTAGGGGGACAATAGGCAGTGATGTTCAAAAAAACACAATGGCAATAAATTATATGATTGATTGAAATTGAAAGAGAGGGCCATGGCCCACCAGCTGAAACGCATGCTTGGTAGGAACACAAAGACAGAGATAACAGATCAGCAGACAATGATCATGGAGAAGCAAAGTGATGTCTTTCCAGGAATCCAATCCAGGCACACAGTTTGCATGCTCTCGCTGTGTTAATTCCATTTTAGGAGGTTAGTAGAATCACATGCCATCACAGATTTAAAGGCTCAGTTGTGCAACGCTGAACAAGGCCCGAGGCTTCCTCGTGACGCCTGCGGGGAATTATTACAGAGCAGGGTAATTTAAAAAAAATGACCACATCCCAGCAGCCCTACTCTGATTGGGTACTCAGCTGGGTGGGCGGGGCTCCGGGTACAGCATCTAGCAAATCACCCAGGCGCTGTGTTTATGAGTCTGTGGTGTACTGTTCAGTTTGCCTGACACTGAAAGTCTATCCCTCGTCTGCACCCAAACCCCAACAGCATGAAGATAACAGTGAATCGTAACGTCTCTAAAGAATGAAACGGCCCGACTTTCCCGCTCATCCTCGCGTCGGCACCTTTCGTCTTCGTTTCTCCTTACATGGTGCCATCTTCTGAAAACTAATGAAGCGTTTTATCGTCACGTCGAAGGCCAAAAGAAAGACAGCCCCCGTGATGAAGACATCAGACCAAGAGTGGAGGTCTCTCCTGGTGACGGTGAAAGAAACGACCAGTGATCTCAAAACTAAGGGAGCCAATTAAAACATGTCAGGCCACCACATAATCACCCATGCAGGGGAACCTCCAGGAGCTGCAGCCAAAATCTCCCCCAGGGCCAATCTGCAAATCCAGGATGGTGGCCAAATAAGACCATTCAAAGGGTTCCACTGGTGTGTCAATGCTTTTGTTCTTCCCATAATTTAAACCCAGAGTCACCTACATTTGAGGGGGGGGGGACGACGACGACAGAGACTAAACAGCAGCTACTTCAGCTTATTCCTTCAAAAACAGAGGCACTGACAGACTAGCAGGACACACACTGCAGACGCAGCTGCTTGTTGCCTTCTGCCATGATGCCCATAAAGTATAACCTTGTTACCGTCCATGTGCCACATGTCTAATTTTCACCCACAGTGAGAGAACCAGCACATGTAAGCAGCCTACTGATGCATCCAGGTTCGCAACATTAAACACACAGTTGAGAAGTATTTGGGTGTTACCATCACAAAGCCAAATCTATAAGCCCTTGATTGGTTTAACAAAGATCCAAACTGTTTTTGGAAGATGAAATCAGGGACACATTGATAACTGTAACTAAGGTTGTGTAAGGTTTAATGGTCAAGTCACCTAACCCTACATAGGACTGTCATTCAGCAACATGCAATGAAAGCATTTAACAACAGTCAACGGGACCCACATGAATGCTGAGGCTTAGGGGAGTTTATAATGCAGCGAGACCCACTAGAGGTAATATGAAGGAACAACTGCATCTCCGGGATGCAGAGATCAACACAAGGAGAGATGCTGCAAAGACCCTGGGCTGCTGAACCGATGCAGACAGCTGATGGCCAACTGCACATGAAGATCACCTGGCTAGAGGATGCAAGACAAGAACAAATGGGTGTCCTCCATTCCCAGAACCCATCTAAGAAGGATACAGATTGGTTGCTCATAGACATAGAACACTGGACAGAAATCCCTTGATGGATGACTTCTTCTGGCGACGTCAATCGGCCATTTTGGGGGGGAGGGGGGGGGGCTTCCAGACCGGTCCCCGACCTTGAGCCACAAAATGCAGCATGACCAGGGAACTGAAGGGTTGCCCTTGAGCAGAGCCCACCCCTGTCTGTAAGTTCAGCCCCCCCCCCCACCTGTGATTGGTGGAACAGAACACCGTCGGCTAGGAAACGAGATGGGAGCCAACGCAGAGGTGGCAGAAGCTCGACTGCACCAAGGGAACAGGGGCTCCTGCTGCCACCAAAGAAACAAAACATTTTTAAAACCTATTTAAAGGGGAAGAGCACAGCCCACAGGGACAGGATCAGCACGACTACGCATCAGCAAGCACAGATATAAAGGAGCAACAGACAACCAAGAAATGCATTTCATGATGGTCAAGAGCGAGGTGGTGCTGGGCTTACTTGGGGATAAGGCTAATTTCACAAGCCCATCAGGACCCTGACTCTGTAATATGGCCTGGGGGGGGGGTCAGGTGTGGCTCTGAGAGCGACCTTTGCCCCCCAGGCAGCAAAGACACACACATGCACGCAATTCCCCACTTCCCATTACACGCTTTCCATTTGCATGTCTCTTAGAAGCCACGTGTTTACACACCATAGCCACTCGTAGCCAGTTTTGTTTCTTAAATCCAAAGCAGTCGACAACTTTCTCCATTTACACAATTTAATACTTCACAGTATTTGCCCCAACAACTGTAATACAGGCTATGCTCAGGCTATACGTTGGTTCTCCACCACCACTGTACCTCTTCCTGAGGTGTGGCACGGTCCACCAATCAGGAAATCAGATGCACTAGCTACACTCGGGGCCCTCGTTTCCAAGCCGGATCCAGTCTTGATGGAAGATGTGTGAAGTGGGACATTCTGGCAACCTTCATGTCCACCCCATAGTGACACACATAAAGCAGCTGCAGGAGAAACCAGGGGACACACACTGACCTCCCCCCTCTTCTGTATCAGCCACAGAACACTCCCCTACCTGGAACTGCCTGGCCCCAGTCCAGGGGAAGGGCAATAGCTGCTGTTTGGTTACTGCCAAGTTCTCAATTAATCTGTCATATTTTAGGAAAACTGACTGCAAAATACGCTTTGGATGGGTATTTGTACAGCCAACACACATCTACTTGCTCATTTGTACATCGTACAATTAATAAAGCTTAGTAACTGTATTCAATTAATAATTATGATTAGG